ATTTTTTTATATCAATTATATGAAAATAACCATGGTTAAGTAATTAATAATAATAAAGCAATAAATTTAAAAATTAGATTAAAAATAAAGTTTTATAAAATAAAATTGTAATAATTTGATTAAATTTTTTTAATTAATTAAATTATTGAGGAATTAAAATGTGATAATTTGATGTGTTTAATTTTTTTAATATAAATTTTTAAAATATAATTTAATTTCAATTGAAATTTTCAATTGAAAAATAAATTAAAGAATATTTATTATTAAACTTTTCTTAAATAATGTATTGAATAGTTAATATTCCTCTAGTCTTAATTTATTACAATTTAAATTTTTAATAAATTTGATTTATTTTTAATAATATTTTTATTTTAGTAATTTAAAATTAAAGTTAATCTTCATTTTGTTAATATTGAGACCAAAATTTATTTTTAAAGTATATTTTAAAAATTAAATTATTTTTAAAAAATAAATTACTTTTAAAAAATAAATTGTAAAAAATATACTAAAACAATTAAAGTATATTTATAAAAAAATAAATTTAAATATAATAAAAAAATAATCTTCATTAGCGATCGATTTCAATTCGGTCACTATTTCAATTTGTAATTCGGTCGCTAAATCGATCGTAAAATGATTTTTTTTATTTTAGTGTGGAATAGCCACCAATTTAGCGATCGAAATTTTGCGACGCAAACTATTGGTCGCTATTTCGGTCGCTAACTAAAAAATGTGAAGCCAAATTATATTTCGGTGGCTAAATTGGTCGCTAAATTGTGACCGAATTAATTCGGTCGCTAAATCGGTTGCTAATAGCGACCGAATTAAATCGGTCGCTAAATCAGTTGCTAATTGCGACCGAATTAAATTGGTCGCTAAATCGGTCGCTAATTTCGGTCGTTAAATGAGTTTTTTCTTGTAGTGTCCTTTGATTCTGTAATAGCAGTGACCTTTGGTTGTCAATTCCTGTCTAAGGATTTCAAGATTTTTGTGTTCAACTCCTCATTGTCAAAACTCTTTCCTAATGCTTTCAAGTAATTTACTATATGTGTGAAGCGTGTTTGAAAATTCGTGATGCTTTTATTTTGCTGCATTTGAAATAATTCTTACTCTTGGATGAGTGTGTTTTTACGTGATCGCTTTACTTCATTTATTCCTTCATGTGTTACTTCAAGAGTGTCCCATATTTCTTTTGCCGTTTTGCATTGTGAGACCCTGAAAAATTCATTACGAGTTAAGGCAGAAACAATAGCATTTCGGGCTCTTACATCATAATGGGCACGCTTATTTTCATCCAGCGTTCATTGATCAAAAGTCTTTGGAACAGCTCCAGACTCCGTTGTTCTCATCGGAATGTAGGGACCATTGAGTACAACATCTCAACACCGTAATCTAGTGTTTGTAAAAATATTTCCATTCTCGCCTTCCAAAACTGATAATCTTCTCCTTCAAATAATGGTGGTCTGTTTATTGAGGCTCCTTCCCTGTAAACCTGATTTTGCATAGACATCTTGACAGATCGTTTAGAAATATCTTATCTAACCAAGCTCTGATACCTCTTGTTAGACAAATGGCATCTAGAGGGGGGTGAATAGATGCACAAATAAAAATAGATGTCAAATTAAAAATTTATTTGTGAGTCAATAATTTGTTTGAACACAAATAAAGCGGAAGCGATGATATAATCAAGAAAAGAGAAAGAGATAAGGGAAATAGAAGAACACATAGAGATTTATACTGGTTCGGGTATAGCCAACCCTACATCCAGTTCCCAGTCAACTTTTAACACAAGATGACTCCCCATTCACTATCTTTCAAATTCAGTTTACAAATTACAATCAACTCAGCAGAAGATCCAGTAAAAAGTAAACTAATTAAAAAGACAATCACCTCCTTAGAAACTCACTAAGGATGAACACCTCCCTAGAATCTCACTAGGGATGAACACCTCCTCTGAACAAATCAAAAGATGAAAACACCTTCTTAGAATCTCACTAAGGATGAACACCTCCCTAGAATCACACTAGGGATGAAAAACACCTCCTTTTCCACCAATGCAAAAAGGATGAAGGTAATAAAAATAAGAACAGACACACCTGGGTAATGGAGACAACAAATTATAGAAGTCTGTAGAATGCCTATCTCCAAGAACAAGTGTGATTAACAATGAAAGCGCAGAAGGCAGTAGAGAAGAGGGTTTCTCAAAAGGTGTAAAATATCTCTATTGCCTTTCTCAGAATTCTGTTCTCAAAACTGATTGAATGTAAATTGTATTTTCGAATTCTGTAATTGTGTGTTTTTGATTTTTCATCAAAACTTAATTAAATAGAAAAATAGCATCAGAAAATGGTCGTTGGACATTAATAATATCATAGAGAAAATCAGGATGTATTAAAAAACATTTATTCTTTAAAACGGATATATTTTTCAAATTTGAATTGTCATAATTGATTATATTACCGAGTATAATTAATTATGATAGAGAAAATTATTTTTCCATTTCTAATGCATCATAATTAATTATGACAGTGAAAAATATCATGTTATGAATTTTATCACACTTGTGCTTTGGAGGCTTATGCATAATATTACTTCATCAACTTGTACCTCCATATCCAGTATTCTAAGACTCTATCTAGTCTTCAGGAATCATCTTGGGCTTGCTTGAATCATCATCTTTATAAAAATATATATTGGGCATGTTGGGAAATGTTTCACATTGTCACCTACGTCATAAATTCAGCTTGTCCTTAAATTCATCTTGAATGGTGTTGACTTGAATGTAGTTGACTTGAATCATCATCAAAATCATCTCTTGGGAATACGGGAACATTTCCATCAATCACCTCCTCATTGCTTTCAATATATATATATATATATATATATATATATATATATATATATATATATATATATAAGTAAAAAATATACAAATACTCCTTTAAATTATTTTAAACAAAAATCTGAAAAGAAAGAAAAATGTAAAAACATAATAAATATTTTCCTTTAATCGTTATGAAATTTTAGACTAGAATTAAAAAATATATAAAAAAGATAACTTATCATTAGATATTTAAGAGATTAAACTTATCAATATTTGTAAAATTAATTAATTTTTTATCACTTCGAAAATGTTTGTCTTTTTTGTTTTAATCTTGTGATATCTTATTCCGAAATTTAAAAAATTTTTCTTTTATACATCAAAGTTGAAAGTTGTTGATTGTGATAAATTATTGTGAGGAGATAGTTGATTATCATCAACCTACTCACTATCCCACTTACTAGAAAGTCTGATACATTGTAAAGTAATTTTACTATTTTGGAAATATTATTAAGGGGCTACCTAATTTTATTTTAGTTTTTCTTATGACCCTTAATTATTTTATGAAATTATTTTTTACGTGAAAATTAATTTTTATATGTACGAAAGTATTTTGTAATAGGTCCTTTATAATCTGTAGTGAGTGATATGCAAAACAAAACGGAAAATATATTTTACAAAAAATTCATTTTAAGATAATAAAATGTAAGAACATACTATATTTCTAATTTTTTTTAATGAAATATGTAATGTGAAAAGAAAAATATTTAACTTACTAATTTATATAATTTTTAATTTAATCTAATGTTAATTTATATTAATAAATTAAACTATAAAGTTATAATAATAAATTATATTTATTAATTTTTAATTTAGTAGTAACGCCATACATAAAATCTATTAAATTAACCATTTTCTCCAATATATTATCAGATAGAAAGTTATTTAAAAATCAATTTAGCATATATTTAAATATAAGATGAATAAAAAACATATAATATAGAATACAATAGCATTAATTGTGGGTTCGGTATCAAGGGAAGAAAGGGTAAGAAAACAAAGAGATGAATAGAGTGAAATAATTCGTCCTCTAACCCCTCGAACGAGGTCTGCATACTAGATAAAAAGTATTTTTGACCCGTAAAGAAAGGATAAATCTTAGCTTAAGATAACAACATGCAGATGATACTTTTGACTCCCAATAAAAGGACAATTTTTAGCTCCAAACAACAAGAAATAAGTTAGGTTTTAATTCTAATATTAAGATTTCAACCATAAAATTAATTGACAATATATAAAGTAGTCTAACAGATATTTAAATCATATCATATAATATGAGGTGGGGGATGTGAGTCTGTTGACAAATTTTGGGTTATGTATATATATGATACATAATTTAAATGTGTTAGGGTCATTATTTATTAAGCCAAATAATAAAGTGATCTGACTAAATTAAAAATGTTTGGCTAAAGACATATGTCATGAAAATAAAATTATGTAGAGACCATAGAGCAATTTCTAATTTGATGAGGGGCCAAATTGGAAATCCTAAAACTTAAGTAATTAACCTAATTTTAGTTATTTTAAGGGGTAATGGTCCCCTTCTGGGAGCACGTAGACAGAACGTAGTTACAGTCCCGTTTTTTTCTTTCTATCCTCATCAAGAAAGAAAATCAAGAGGGAAATACAAGTGCTCTTCAGGTGGAAGACCATAAGATCAATAGTGCTCTAAAAGGGACATCATCATTATGGCTAATTCAGGTACGCTTTCGCATTTAGTTTATAACATGTTTACAGTATGAGATTACTTTATATTTGATCGTTAGATTAAAGATCATATTTAATTATTAGTTTACCTAACAAGTGGTATCAGAGCAACCCATACTTGATTCATGTTTATCTTAGGAAATATTTAAAAATTAAGATTAATTTACGCAACCCTTAATCCCTAATTAAAAATCCCAAAATTAAGATTACTAGGGTTTCTTAAAACCCAATTCGGCGGGATCTCCTTTATCTGAGTCCCCTATCTTGCTAATGAGTCTCATCCCTCTCGCCCACTGTCGCCGCAAAGGGTTTTTTGCCACTCCGTGATCCTCCGATTTCGTTGAATTCGATTTCTTGGACTGCCATGATATCTGGGTATGCGTAGAGTGGACGAAAGTTTGAGGCTTTTCAAATGTTTCGTCAAACTCCGTATCGAAACTTGTTTGCTTGGACTGCTTTGATTTCCGGGTTGGTGCAGAGTGGGAATGGTTTTGACGCGTTTCACATGTTTGTTGAAATGCGGCATGACGGGGTTAGTGTTACAGACCCGTTGGTTCTTTCCAGTGTGGTTGGTGCTTGTTCTAATCTAGCTCTTTGGGAGCTGGGTAAACAGATGCACGACTTGGTTATAGCCCTTGGCTATGAGTCTTGCTTGTTTATAAGCAATGCACTTGTAGATATGTATGCCAAATGCAGTGACCTTGTTGCTGCAAAGTATATCTTCTCTGACATGTGCAAAAAGGATGTGGTTTCTTGGACTTCAATAATAGTTGGCAGCGCCCAACATGGGCAGGTTGAGGAGGCTCTGGGTCTGTATGATGGCATGGTTTTGGCTGGACTTAAGCCAAATGAGGTGACCTTTGTTGGGTTGATTCATGCATGTAGTCATGCTGGCCTGGTTAGCAAGGGCAGGGCTTTGTTCAGGTCTATGGTTGAAGATTACGGAATTACGCCCTCCCTTCAACACTATACTTGTTTGTTCGATCTTTTAAGTCGATCAGGGCACCTTGATGAGGCTGAGAGTCTCATTAGAACTATGCCAGTCTACCCTGATGAAGAAACACAGGAGCTGAAGCCACCATCATGGCTAGAGGGCTGAAGAAACACTTGAAGAGGCTCAATGCTCCAAAGCATTGGATGCTTGACAAGCTTGGTGGTGCCTTTGTATGTACATTACTCACAGTTCTTGTGCACCCAAGCCATCATCTGGACCCCACAAGTCAAGGGAGTGTCTGCCTTTGATTCTCATCTTAAGGAACAGACTAAAATATGCCCTAACATATAGAGAAGTTATTGCTATCTTGATGCAGCGCCATGTTCTTGTTGATGACAAGGTTAGGACAGACAAGACATATCCTACTGGTTTCATGGATGTTGTTTCTATTCCCAGAACAAACGAAAGTTTCCGTCTTCTGTATGACACAAAGGGTCGCTTCCGTCTCCACTCCGTGAGGGATGAGGAGTCAAAGTTTAAGCTCTGTAAGGTTCGGTCTGTTCAATTTGGGCAAAAGGGCATACCCTATTTGAACACATACGACGGTCACACCATCCGCTATCCTGACCCACTAATCAAGGCTAATGACACCATCAAACTAGACCTGGAAAACAACAAGATCAGAGACGCATCACATAACACCACCTGAATGCATTTCCTTAAAACGCCCGAAACCTCTTTGCAACAACGATTCCTTAGTTAAAATTAAATCTCCCTTTGGTCTCCAACACTTCAATTTCACTCTCTCTCTCTCTTCCTTCACGGTTATAAAGTGGAATAAAAATGGTAGCATCGGACGGTGGCGGTGGTGGGAAATTGACGAAGCTTCTGGGTTTGGGCTATTAGGTGCAAGGATTCAGGTGTTTTCCATGGTTGGTTGTGAGTTTCTACCTCAAGGATGGCCTCAATGTGGACCCTTCCACTCTTAAAATTCTTTAGAATTCTGCCAATCTTCCCATGGTTGGGAAGCCCCTCTATGGCCTCGTTTCAGACTCTGTCTACATCTCAGGCCAGCAACGAGTTCCCTACATCGCCTTTGGAGAAGAAACTTTCATTAGAACGGTGATAAGGAATTATTTCAAGGCAAATATATGAAGATAGAACTACATAATTATAAGATTATATGAAGCTATGGTGGAATTATGGCAGGAGTTCTTTGCTAACCTAGAGGAGTATATATATTTGATTTTATTATATAAATAAAATATTAATTTGTTTGGTAGTTTAATATTTTTGTGAGTAAATTGAGTCAAGAAGTTACCAAAGTAACATCTCTTGAATTGGGTAGTTCGTGAAAAATATTAAATGTTAGTGTTTGTGTATATTCATGTAAGTATTAGTCGGCCCAAAGGAAGATTAATATTTGGCCGAATTGCATATACACTTGTAATGATAAACATGTGATAATTATAAAGATTTGCTTTGTCGATGATAAATCAATCCAAAGACTGGTTTGTTGTTGGACGTGCTTTATTGTCAATGTTTGATTATTACAACAAGATACCTCTAGCAGTTAATATTACTGTCCAAAGACTTGATATTGATGGTGCATTGGGTGTCTTGAGATGGGTTAAACCATTATTTGAATATATATTTTATTTATAATTATTTATTTTATAATTGAGCATAATTAATTTATTTCTTTTGTTCTTAATTCAGCTACAATTGTTTCTGTATCTGTCAATTTAAATTCTGTTTCGATCCTCAAAAGTATGTTTCCCATTTTGGTCTATTCTGAAGTCAATTTAACGTCAGTACCTAGTAACACATGGTGGTTAGACTCAGGTGCAACTACTAACATCAGTGTTTCTATGAAGGGTTGCCTAAGCTACCGGAAGCCAATTGATTCTGAAAGATGGATATATGTTGGAGATGGTAAATCGGTAGAGGTGGAAGCTATAAGGCATTTTAAATTGTTATTGAGTACTGGTTTTTATTTGGATTTGAAAGACACTTTTGTTCTGCCGTCATTTAGACGGAATTTGATTTCAGTTTCTTATTTGGACAAATTAGGTTATTTGTGTTTATTTGGAAACAATGAGTTCAATTTTTCTTTTAATTCAGATATTGTTAGAATTTGTTCACTTTTGGCTCATGATAATCTATATTTACTTAATATTGTGGTCACCTATAATGAAACTCTTAATACAGAATCTCGTGGTATTAAACTAAAATTGGACTCCCGAACAGTAAGTAATTACTTCATTGGTTATTCTGAAAGAGCCAGGGGATATAAATTTTATGATCCCACATTAAATAAAATTTTTGAGATGGGAACTGTTATGTTCTTTGAGGATATTGAGTTTGGGGGGGGGGGGAAAGAATAAGATTAAGAATTTTGTATTGGAGGAAGAATCGACAATAAATCCAGAACCGATTCAAACAGTTACTTTTGATAAAGTAAGTTCGGAACCTCCACAAGACACTGATGATAAATCCCATATGCAAGATTATTTGATTGTTCGTCAAGACCAAACTCAAGATCCTCAAGAACCTGTGCATCATGAGTCGGGGATACTCCAGTTACTAAGGGAGACAAGTTTAGTCTAAATTAGTGCCCAAAGGGGAATTTGGAAATTGAGGAAATGCAACAGACTCCCCATGCATTAGCTATCGGGAGTTTGATGTATTCCCAAATATGTACGTGTCCAGACATAACATACATAGTTGAGGTTCTAGGCAGATATTTAAGCAATTCAGGAATAGACCATTGGAAAGCAGCAAAAAGGGTCATAAGATATTTAAAGAGAACAAAAGATTATATGCTCACATACAGGAGGTCAGACCAGTTGGAGATCGCTGGGTTTTCTGACTAAGATTTTGCAGGATGTCAAGAATTTGTAGCATGCTATGAGGCATCAAATTATGGAATATGGTTAAGAAATTTTGTCACAGGGCTGCAAATTGTGAAAGGCATTGAAAGACCACTTAAGTTATATTGTGACAATAAATAAGTTGTATTGTCAAGGAAAGAGTACAAAATGGACATATTTCCATAGAACACTTAAGGACAAACTCCATGATAGCATATCCTCTAACTAAAGGACTTCCGCCCAAGGTCTTTCATGAGCATGTTGCTCACATGGGTGTTTTACAGTTTGAGGAATTTGTGGTTTAGTGGGAGTTAGTCACTTTCATATATTTTATGTTCTATGTTTAATTTCATATATGTATACATTGATTTTTGGACATATTTGGTTATCTATAGATATGTGGTTTTTTCGTTCATTCATTACACTTTGTACATTAAGGATATTATATTGATCTCAATATGCGGTTTTTTCGTTCATTCATTACACTTTAATTCAGGTACGCTTTCGCATTTAGTTTATAACATATTTACGAGTATGAGATTACTTTATATTTGATCGTTAGATTAAATATCATATTTAATTATTAATTTACCTAACAGAGACTTCTAACTCGTCCCTTCCAACGAAGCATGTCAGACAAGATAAATAGTACTTTTAACTCATAACGAACAACAACTCTTAGACTCAAGATATAATTGAAAAACAAATAAGGTTTCAACATCAAACTAATTGATAATATGAAGAGTAACTTAACAAGTGTTTAAATTATACCTTATGACATAAGTGTTGAAAGTCCCACATGTGGTATGATTTAAATACTTGTTATGTTAATTCTTATATTGTCAATTGATTTTATATTAAAATCTTAACAAGGTATCACAAGCAAAACATAACTTCTTTTTTTTGCTCTCTTGGGTCAAAAGTTGATCTTTAATTGCTAATAAAACCATTATGTTAGAACTTTAATATGGTACAGAAATGATAAAAATCTTAACTTGTTTTTTATTATTATTTTAGCCCAAGAGTTAGAGTTATCCTTTTGTTGTGGTAAAAAACACATCTTAGCTTATTCACCAGACTTCATTGAAAGAGATATTATTGGGTTGATGAAAATAATATATCTTGAAAAGTCTCACATCACATTAGATAAATAATAGAATGAATGATAGTAGTTATATAATGAACTTAAAGTCTATAATATTTTGACATCCTAGTAAAAAACACTTTAAACATGTATTTAACTTTTCTTATACTCTTACGATAGAGTATTTTGATGTTTAGTTTAAATTCTTACTTTAGAGAGTATAAGTATATATAGGATCAAAGGGTATGGGATAGTAGCTTATGTATTATAAAAATTTTCACATAGTATTATTTTTTTGGATATTATTAGACAATGTTCGTGGTTTTTTGAAATCGTGTTTACTGATCTTGTTCATGATATTGTCTCTTGTTAATCCCACAAATTTATATCCCTTTACCCTCCTTAATGCATTCTATAGTCCTATTCTATGTAATGTAACCCTAAGTGAATAGAAAAACCACAGTTTCTTCCCATATGCACTTCTGCCACTGCATCCCAAAACTTCACTCATTACTCTATGTTATATCAGACCTACCTCTTACCCACAAACTTAGGAACTCCTTTTGGAAATATATAGTGACTGAATATGCCTCTCATTTCTTTTTCCTTTTCAATCACATGCAAAATTACTGACCAATTCTGATTCTTTAGCCTACAATGGAATTTAGATGTTGCGTGTGGCCTAACGTTTTCACTGTATAATCGGCTTCATATCAAGCTAGCTACAAATGCTCACTGGAGTTAAAAGGGCGTTCGATCAAATTGCCATTTAAGGGGAACTCAGAGAGAAGTTTCTAGAATGCTCGCATGTGTCCTGCATTAACTTTATGTAAAAAATCTCCACTACCTAGGGTTACAGTTTTTCGGGGAATTGGAGTTAACTTTTCATTCTCTACATTACTTCTACCGCTAAGAAGTGCTCTAATATAGCCTGACTTGTCCTTATAGGTCAATTAAACAAAATTAATATCTAATTTAATTTATATTTTAAAATAAGATATAATTTTTACTTTAATTTGATTTTATATTAAGCTAATGAGTAAAATAATTAATTTTTCAGGATTGAAAATTTAAAATATTTGAATAAAAATATTTTTTTAATTTAAATTATATTAATAAAATTATTTTATTTAATAATTTAATATATAAATTACAAGAGAATATCCATTTAATTCTAAAATATAAGTTAAAAACTTATTTTTTATTATCATCATTAATCTTTTATTAATTTATTAATCTAAATAATCTTAATCATTAAATATTGAAATAAGTGATGGTTAAAGATTTACTTTAATATTTATTCTTAGAATAAGTGATTCCTTAATTTAGGACTATCAAAACATGTGGGTCAGCTTGGTCCGGTCTAGCCCTATAGGCCAAATAAAAAAATTTGATGGTTCAATCGACATTATATTTTAAAATAGGTCAAAAGGTTTTAGCATAATCTAACCCTATGTTAGGCCAATGGGCTAATTTTGACTTAATTGAAATTAAAAAATATATATATTAACATATTTATACAAAATTAATTAATTAAATAAATTTAAAAATTTAAAATATATTTTAAAATTTGATTTTTTATTTAAGATATAATGGTTTAATATTTAAATTCACCACAAGAAAATTGTTAATTACTAGACAAATTTTTTGACGAACATAAATAGGTTAAAAATAAGGATTTATTGACGAACTTACCAATACTCATGGATCTATCCGTTGGTAAAATAATTATTCATTATCAACGACTCATTTTCTGTCAAAAATATTCGCGGGTTGGGATGATAGTAATGTGTATATTATCCGTTGATAGGTTGTTTTGATTAATAAACAATTGTTTTCACTTTTCCTTCACCTCATTCGCCTCTCTTTTGATCTTAGTAGCTACACAAACCCTAAATTGTGTTTAATCCCTTTTCTGTCCAAATTCCTGTTGAAATGATCCAATCTTTGAAAAATTTATCCCTAATTCACCTTAATAACTTATAGTAGGTCACACTCCCATTCTCTTACATTTTAGTCACTTTAATTCACTCACCTTCATCCTTACACACGATCCACCTTTATTAGTACCTCACATTTTCCCTATACCCATAAATTCAACTCATCACTCTTTTTCCTCATCCACACCTTCAACCTATCTCTCATCACTCTCCTTCATTTTTAGCTCACCACAGACTCACCCTCACCTTCGCATCCCATCTCCACCCAACCACCACTCACTCACCATCACAACCACCCAAACCGTCTAGCTACTCACCATCGTACCACCATTGCTAGACCACAATCTTTCTAGCACCATCACTGCTCAGCTTCCCCCACTAACATAATTACGAGCTCGACGCACGTCGTTGCCTCCACCGCGAGCTTGCTGTTGTTCGTTTGGAAAGCGTACCAATATTATCAATCACAATACAGTATTTTAATTACATAAAATTTGATCTCACGAGAAACGGTTTCACTGAAAATTTTGAATTATATGCTTACTAAGTATATTGACACAAAATTGATTTTTCATAAATATTTGGCTTGAAAATAAGCAGTAAAGAGCTATAAAATATATCTAGAAAAGATAAACGATAAGAACTTAGGATTGAATTAATTCCTTTTTCCTTCTTTGTATAATGGTTAGGTCAAGCTAATAACATCAAATAACCTATCAATGTTGATGTCACCTACTTAAATCATTCACATTGATTCCTGAAACATGAAATTCATAAGAAAACCTTGTAAATATAAATTCCTCATACATTTAATAGATTTTCCAGCATTAAGTTTAGGGTGTTAAGCATTTAATACATCTATTACCATTCCTAGTAATTAATGTAGCAAATATTCTTAATCTAATCAAGGGTTTCAAGATATATTTTCCAATATATACGAACATCAAGGATAAAAACATAAACAAACATAAAGGATAAGAATAAAAACATAAAAAACATAGATTAATATCTCAAAATATCACCAAGATACAAAAGAGTTCAAAGGAAGTGCACCCAATCCTAAGAGAATGAAGTTAGTCACTCATGATGGTCATTATGATATGAATCACAAGGGGTAATTTGGGATCTTTAGGGTTAAAACCTTGTAAGAAATTTAGGAATTAGAAAGAAGGTGGAAGGAAAGAATCACTCTTCCCAAGGGAGGCAACACACAAAGGATGTGACAGTCCTTTGATACAGCCAAGGGTTCTTGAATCACTCAAGAATTTAGGAGAATCACTCTCACTAAGATAAAAGAGATAAACTCTAATATTTTTTAATAAAATTCCACTTGTTATTTCTTGATAAGAATGATTTAGCTGATATAGAAGCATTGTCATCAGAATTACAAAAGACTCAATAAAAAAAAAAAAATACTAATAATAACCCATTAATCTAGGAATTGAAAACTATTTAATGAAAACAAATAAAGGCTAATAATGATTCATTAACCTAGAAATTGAAACTACTTAATGACTGATTGTATCTGAAATTGTGGCAACCAAAAGTCAATCAGCTATGCACCCCTTGGTCTCCCAAAGGCTGATGACTAAATTTTCAATTGGACCCTTATTACAACTTAAAACAGAATCAAACTAAAGCTCATTAATTGATTAATTCAAAACATAATTTGGTCAACCAACAATATTTGTTGAAGAACTTCCTTTATTTCCCTTGCTCTAGCCCTTATCATAGGTCATGTTCACATCACATTACAAGGATCCAAATGAAGAAGAGATGAAGAATGAATGAAGATTGGATGAAAATTGGAGTTGCAGTCGCGCCTCCTTCTAAAAAACTCCAAAATTAAAAATTATCTTCTCAAAACGCGTATTATCTTTTTTATAGAAGAATTTGGGACACGCGTCATTCGCTCAAGCGAAAAATATTCGCTTGAACAGTTGAATTCCCGAGAATTTTAACGTATTTTTGTTCAAACGAGAGATGTTCGCTTGAGCGGGTAAATTCTAGAAAGCTTTAACGTATTTTTTCTCAAGCGAGAATCCATCTCACTTGAGTGAATATCAGGTTGACAAACTTCTCCCTTCTTTCAATTTTTGCTTTAATTATCTTGACAATTATGATCCTTGCTCTTGTACTAAGGTATTCTACAATTTCATCCTACATTAGGAGAAAAATATATTAGAATCAACATAATTTAAGTGGTTAGATAATAATTAAAAGCATAATTACATCAACTTTTACCACTTAATAATTGTCACCCACTCTCCTTTCCTCATTGGCGAGCCACCCAACCTACATTGTGACCATCCTCGCCACGACTGGACTACGGGTCCAGTCCATTATGAGCTGCACCTCTATCTCACGGGCCACCACATCTCCAGTTTCAATTTTCATTCCACTTGTTTCACCCACTGTCTCTGACTATCCTCATTGCGCTACTGAACCTCCCCTCTAACCGGTGAGCTCAATCATTGTCTCAACACTAAATGGAACTCCAAATTGCCTTACCAATCTGAACCGCCGCACCAACCACCAAGCTTTTGCGTTGCGCCCCATCTCCTCGTGCTCTCACCCAATAGACCCATTATGTTTTTCTCTTCTATTCATCCCTATTTCTTTGGTTTAATTTCATTTTCTGATTTTTATGGAATTAGTTTGCTTGGAATATGTTATTTTTGCTTGGATTGGTTCTACAATTTTTAATTTGATTTTATTAGTTTTAATGGCTTGGTTTGGTTTTATTTGAGTCTATGTCCATTTGCTATATCTTAGCACCATTGTGGTTTGATTTTGGTTGTATGTTATGACTGACTTGCTTTGTTGGATTCAGTATAGTTGACACTTTGTTTATTGTTTCATTTTGTTATGATGTCTTGGTTTGGTTTAGGTGATTTGTTTTCTTCTGTTAGTTTGGTTATGGACTGATGTCGTTTGTTAATTTTTATTTGTTGTGTTTGGGATGAGGTTGTTAGTTAAGATAAGGTTTTGTGGGATTTTGTCTAGGATTCTTTTTCGATTGTGAATTCTAATATGTTATTGTATTTCTTTTGGACTTTCTTGATTATATCAATTTGTGTTATTTATTTTTCTTTGTTGGCATTGTAAAAGAAATCAGAGGTAGAGTTGATGATGTTGGATCTCGTATCTATATAATAAGCAAGTATTAAAAGTGAAAGAGGGCAAGGATTTACCCTATCACTAGTACAAAATTGGGCTTTTATGTCTGTTATTTTTACCTTTTTACGTCAGAAATAAGTCTGATATTAATACGAGAGACGTAAATTTACGTCAGACCTAGGGGTAACTAATGTAAATTTACGTTGGATCCTAGTTGGTAACCAACGTAAATTTATGTCGGACCCTAGGGATAACCAACATAAATTTTGTCTTTTTTTTTTTCTTGCAGTCCAGATATCATATTTCAATAGATAATAATTCAAACATACAATATAATACAAAGACACAAACTAATACAAAAACTAAGCCACATAAATGTCAAAATACATAATATAATACAAACTATAAATGTTGAATGAAAAACCTTATTATTTTGTAATATCATGTCCTGATAGTGGAGATGGATGAATCTTGAAATACCTGAAACATTAATTTGAATCCAGTTAACATGCAATACACACAGGTAAATGAACTTAACAAATATTAAAAGCAATTACCTCTGGTTATACCCACATAAACTTTTGTGTATGACATGTGCTTAGGAGCATATTTTGGAAAAATTGTTAAGACAAATTCCCTTTGGGTATTTGCCTCCTCTTCTTCACCTTTTTCTCTTCGTTTTGATATGTTGTGCATCTGAATCCGACATCTGAGTCAAAAGTTATCTTGCTTCGAACATTTTCTGTTTTCTTTTCATCATAAAACCCTAATACACAAAACAACAACAACAACCTAAACCCCCAATAAAAGTAGGATTCAAATGCATACAACAACAACAAAAAAAGTAGGATTCAAATGCATAGAACACTAACTACAACAATTCAATATCAATAATAATTCAGTAGAAACATTCAATTTTAACATAAAAGAGGAGACGAGACATATAAAACACTAACCTCAAATATACAAAAAATGTTGTAAAACTTGAATTCAATATGAGAAAAATGTCAACCACCACAAATGAGACACAATGAAAGTATTTTCGTCACTCACTATGGTCGAAATGTACCTTGAGAGGAGCTGGTCATCGTTGTTCTCGTTGTCATTCTAAAAAATTCTTGTTACGCAAGACGAGAGAGTGATGCAAGAATATAATAAAATGCGATTTTTACGTCGGACCCATAAGGAACCAACATAAAAACTGGTCCAACTTTTAACATTGGACCCATAAAGGGGTGACGTAAAAGATATTTTTTATGTCATCCCTTTATGGGTCCGACGTAAAAGTCTTTCCCAATATTTACAAAATTACCATCGTGTTTTTTTTAAGTCGGTTATTTTTGGATCCGACAAGAATTAGGTGATGTAAAAGGGGCTTTATGCACTAGTGTGTCAACGTTGTAGTTAGGTAGGTTTAGGGTTTACTATTTACATGGATTATGCTATATATTATTGAAACTAAATATGTATGCTCTTTTACTTTCCCCATGTTTAACCACGACCTTCCAAACAAGATTGTTACACATGAACCCTACCCATAGGCTATTTGGCAAGTCAAATAATAGAAAGTCATTTCATCCCTTCACTAATCTCCCCTTTGATGTATGATTTTAAAGCTTCTGTTATCCATCCCTTTGTACAAGTTAAATAAAGTTGTTTATTTGTTATATTCAAATGTGTCTTAAGCAAAGGAGCTCGATCGATCTGTTTTTGTTTATGAGATCTTTCAGTAGACTCATATAAGAAAAACTAGAGTTGTCAAAACGAAAGGTCTAGCCTAGCCTGACCTGGGCTTACAAGCCAAGTAAAAAAATTTGATGGTCCAATCTAGCCTATATTTTAAAATGGCCAAAATTTTTAATATAGTCTAATCCTATGTTAGGCCAACAAGCTAACAAACCAATTTTGGCCTGATTAATTTTTTTTAACAAATATTAACATATCTATACAAAATAAATTAATTAAAAAAAATAAATAAAAAAAAATAAAAATATATTTTGAAAATTTAAATTTCATTAATAAAATTAATTTCTATTTAAAATATAATAATTTAATATGTGAATTATAAGAGAATGCATCCATTTAATCTTAAATAAGAATTAAAAACTTACTATTTACTATTATTATTATTATTATTATTATTTATTTTTAGTAATTATTTAATTTAAACTAGTAATTAATCTTAATAATTATATCTTGAAATAAGTGATGCTTAAAATTTTATTATAATATTTACTCTTAAAATAAGTGAATCTCTTATCAAATTAATTTATACTACATATATTTTTTAATAAAATAATATTAGTTTTATTTTTATTTAAAAAATAATAATTATTCTATAAATTGGGTTGACTCATAAGCTTAGGGACTAGCCTGACCTAAGCACGTATAAGTCATGACCAAAATAGGTCGAGTCAAAATAGACCTGATTTAATTTAGGCCACAATCTTTTTTGCCTAGCCTTACCTATTTTTTGGGTATTTCAGGTCAGCTCATCAGGTTAACCCTATTTTGACACCCTTAAGAAAAATTATTGATCAATTTGTTGATGGATGATCTAGGAAGACACATGTGAGTCCCTTTATAAGTAGCCTTATTTATTTAGAAATGTATTGTTTAATAATGTTTTCATTTTAATTACAAGAGGAATTTTAAAGTAGATTGTCACAAGCTAGATCGTCAATTGGATCTTTTGTTGGGGAATCAAAGTCTAATTCTCTAGATCTAACACAAGATGACATTATTGGATCTCGATGTTGCGTTGACACGGTTGATGGCAAAAATAAAGGAAGACTATATGTGATTGGAGAATTTGGTCGTGGTTATCAAGGAAGGAGTGATAGTTTAAAGCATCAACTTGAAATCCAGCTCTTCATATGACTTACAAGAGATGAACAATCTCAGACAATGACTTTCTGCCTACAAGTGAAGAAGAAATTCATTGCATAAAGGAGAACAACGAATGATTGAGTTGCGAGTTCCAATCTTTTATGAGGGCAGTGTGATTCTCTCTTCCTAATGCATGCCCTTTTTTCAACAGTAACAATAGCAACAAACTCAACAAGAAGGCTCATAATAATAACAAAATGATGAACAACAACAAGACACCTCACTATAACAATACAACCCCCTAACAACAACATTCTCTAAATTATGTTAACTATTAGATAGTAGTAGTTTCTTTTGGAATAATTATTATAGTTTATTTAGTACATTTTACTTATTTGACATACTTGTATGTGTTATACATATAATATCATATATTCCTGTCTAATTATATTATATTGAGTTGTCATTCAAATTGGACTTTTGCATTTTTGATCTTGTTGGTATAATTGAATATATGACCAAGTATTTAGATTGAGTTGAAATGGTATATAAATAGCCCTTACTTTAGAATATTGGAAAAAATTTATCAACGAACAAATCAAAAGGTAAATGTGTCAATAAGTCACACAATAAACATGTCATCCCTTATTAGATATATCCGTCAAAAATTATCTCATTTGCTCAATCTCACTTTATCGATTGTCATTATCGTCAATAATTATTTACTGATGTATCCCTCAGTAATTACCGATAAAAGATAGTCAGTGGGTAAGTTTCGATTGCCTTTTTCAACTTATCTATTCGTCGGTAATTACCAATGGACATATAAAATTCATCAGTAATATTTACTGAAAATGATATTATCGATATTTCTATCCATCGGTAAACTATCATTTTCGATGAATTTCTACCATTACTCGACAAATTTTTAACTATCGATAATGCCCATTTTTCTTGTGGTAATTATAAGAGAATACATCTATGTAATCTCAAAATAAGTATTAAAAAATTACTCTTTATTATCATTATTTATTTTTAGTAATTTATTAATTTAAAATAATAATTAATCTTAATCATTAGATCTTAGAATAAGTGATTATTAGATGTTTGTTTTAATATTTACTCTTAGAACAATTGAACCCCTGTCAAATTACTTTATAATGCATATATATTTTTTAATAAAATCATATTACTTTATTTTTATTTAAAAATGTAATTATTATTCTGTAAAATGGACTAACCCATCAACTTAAGGACTAGACTGGCCTAAACCCACATAGGTCATGGCCTAAATATATCGAGTTAAAATATGACTGATTCAATTTAGATAACAAATTTTTTAGCTTAGCTTAACTTATTTTTTGGGCTGACCCATCGAGTTAAATCTATTTTGACACCCATACCTTTATCAAATTAATTTATAATATATATATATATATATATATATATTAATAAAATAATATTATTTTTTATTTTAAAAATAATTATTATTTTATAAAACGGGTCATCTCATAAACTATAAGATAACCTAAGCCAAGATCATACCCTACATAAATCAAGTTAAAATAAAAATGATTTAATTTAGGCATTAATCTAAAGTCTTTTTGGATTGATCATCAAAATTAAATATACTTTGAGACTCTTATATGTTAGTTAGAAGAGTGACTTTCTCACATACTCAATAATTAATAATAATAATAATAATAATAATAATTAATAATAATAATAATAATAATAATAAAACATTTTGCAAGAATTTTGGAATTTATTTGACTCCGTATACTCTCATTCTTAATTACTTTGAAATCCTATTAGGTAATGTTGGCAAATTTTGGGTCATGTATATATATGATACATAATTTAAATGTGTTAGGGTCATTATTTATTAAGTCAAATAATAAAGTGATCTGACTAAATTAAAAATGTTTGGCTAAAGGTATATGTCATGAAAATAAAATTGTGTAGAGACCATAGAGCAATTTTTAATTTGATGAGGGGCTAAATTGGAAATACTAAAACTTAAGTAATTAACCTAATTTTGGTTATTTTAAGGGGTCATGATCCCCTTCTGGGAGCACGTAGACAGAACGTAGTTAAAGTCCCGTTCCTTTCTTTCTATCCCCATCAAGAAAGAAAATCAAGAGGGAAATACAGGTGCTCTTCAGGTGGAAGACCATAAGATCAATAGTGCTCTAAAAGGGACATCATCATTATGACTAATTCAGGTACGCTTTCGCATTTAGTTTATAACATGTTTACAGTATGGAATTATATGGATCATAATAGTAAATTACTAACAATTGGTATCAGAGCAACCCATACTTGATTCATGTTTATCTTTGGAAATTACATCTAACAAAATTCAGATTCTGTTTAATTAAGAACCCTAAGTCGAGAATAATCTCCTCCCAATTTTTTTTAACCCTAAATTTAAATTTGGGGTAAATTCCCAAATTTTAAACCTAATTTCGAATTTGGGGTAAATCCATTCTTCTGCTCCTTCACACGAGTTCATGCGAGTTACATAATCTCCTTGATAAGAGAGCTTCTGCCGTTGGATTCTGTTTTTCGAAGTACCTTTGGTGAAGTTGCTTCTGAAAACCCTAATCGAGGAGAAAAAGAAGGAGATGCACTCTGCGTTTACGACCTCTACCTCTGATGATGCTTCACGGGAGCGGGCCTCTCCTCGCACACGCTCCACATCGATCACCAAATCCCACTTCTCTGTATCGATCACCAAACCACACTTCACTTTTGGGCCCCCACCAATCCAACGTCCCAAAAGCCTTCTGTCGTTCTCATCCACGGATTTGGGCATGCGGCCATATGGCAGTGGCGCCAACAGGTCCAATTCTTAACCTTTCACTCTCTTGCCTCTGCCGCTGAGTCGCAGCACGGTGAGTTGCGCAGCTCCGACGAGCCTTGTAATGAGCCCAATTTAGAAACCCTAGGCTGTGTTGTTTCCTCTTCAGTTCAAACCCTTTCTCTTCAGCACCATCCGAGTGACGATTTGCACGGAAGCCCTGCTGCACCGTATTCGGGTGGAAAAGGAACTACTACAGATGCACTTCTGCTGGATGTCCTGTCAGAAAGCACATTGAGTCTGCCGTGGATAACTCGGATGCCGTCATTATAACGTACAAGGGTGTACATGACCATGACATGCCTGTCCCCAAGAAACGACACGAGCCACCAAGTGCTCCTCTTGTGGCAGTTGCAGCACCTGCCTCCATGAACAGTTTGCAGGTGAAGAAACCCGATTCCCCACAAAACAAGAAAGTTTCTACTCAATGGTCAGTAGATACCGAAGGAGAACTAACTGGGGAAGCTTCTGGATATATTGAAGGTGGAGAAGTTCCAGGTGGTGGGAATGAGCTATGGAGACAT